TAACAGTAGTCAATATCTGTCTGGGGAAGGGGGGGCACACCTCATCAACAAGGGTACCTGCACAATGCATATTTGTATAATAACCCTTAACTGTATCCCACAATTTTAAAATAAAATATATATATTAAAAAAAAAAAAAAGAATGTAGGCCAGATGTGATGGCTCACACCTGTAATCCCAGCACTTTGGGAGGTGGAGGCGAGAGGACTGCCTGAGCCCACGGGTTCGAGACCAGCCTGAACAACTTGGTGAGACCTCATCTCTACAATTAAAAAAATATTAAAAAATGAGCCAGCCATGGTGGCATGCACCTATAGTTCAGCTACTTGGAAGGCTAAAGCCGAAGGATCACTTGAACCCAGCAGGGCGAGACTGCAGTAGCTGGGAGTATGCCACTACACTCCAGCCTGGGCAACAGAGTGAAACTCCGACTCAAAAAAAAAAAAAAAAAAAAAAAAGAATGCAGATCATGGCCGGGCACTGTGGTTCACACATGTCAGCTCCTGGGGAGGTCATGGTGGGGGGATGGCTTAAGCTCAAGGGTTCAAGACAAGCCTGGACAACATCCTATCTCTTTTAAAAAAATATGGGTCAGTTTGAACAATCTGTTCTAAACTTGAAAAGGGCTTTTTCATGAGCTCACTTGATTCTCTAAGGTGATTATTCCCTCTGCATTTAACAGAGATAAGATTCCAGCCACTGAAGGCCTCGTGAACCCTGTGTAGCCACTGCACAGAGGAGCCAGAGCTACCCTCTGGGACTGGCTGACTTCCCATCTGTCAAGCCAGCTTCCATGGTTCCTTTCTGTCAAGCCAGCCCCAGAAGCGGTTGAGAGGCCTCAGGAGCGGGTCCCATTCCTGTCCCCAAAAGCCAGGCTGTGTGGCCCATCCATTACCTGCTGGAGGCGGCTCCTGATGTCGGAGGCGCAGAGCTGGAGGATGTGCAGGTAGGAGGCCTCGGTGTCCACAAGCTCCCCGATGGCCTGCCTCTGCTGGAATATGGATCGGTCCTCAGAAACCTGCCCTTCCCCGTCCGGACTCTCCGACCTGGAGGACGGCTCCTCTGCTCCACGGTCAGCCATGTCGCAGATTCTGGGAAAAGCAAGACCATCTCGACTCACTACTGGGTTGCACTTGAAACTGAGCCTACATTATAAAAATCATAAAGTGTTGCACATATTCCCCTTTCTCTTTGTCCTTTTTTTTTTTTTTGAGTCAAGGTCTCACTCTGTCACCCAGGCTAGAGTGCAGTGGCAGGATCACCGTTCACTGCTGCTTCGGCCTCCTGGGCTCAGAGTGATCCTTCTACCTCAGCCTCCTGAGTAGCTGGGTCTATAGGCACATGCCACCATGCCCAGCTAATTTTTTTGTTTTTTTGTAAAGACAAGGTCTTGCTATGTTACCTAGGCTGGTTCTGAACTCCTAGGCTCAAGCAGTCCTTCCACTTCAGCCTCCCAAAGTGCCAGGATTACAGACGTGAGCCACTGTGCCCAGCTTCTTTGTCCTTTTCCTCCTCTGTGTTTCGCTGCCTGCATAGTCATTTCGGTAGAGGGCAGTCACTAATAATTAACTATCTTAACCCCAGGGCTGCCCGCAAGACTAATGAATATGTTTTTCTCTTTAAAACAAAAAAACAAAAAAACAATGATCTTAGGCCATGTAGATGCCCTCAATGACATCCAGAAGTCTGATCAGCAAGAAGATACGAACAGCTTGGATCACTGGGGTCTCACCTCCCACACACCAGCCCTACTCATAAAAGCCCCAGTTCAGAGGCAGTTTGGGTTTGAGAGTCTGCCTCTCCCGCCCTCATGCTTTGGCCACATTGAAAGAATCTTTCTCTGCTCCTAACTGCAGATACTTTTGTGTTTGGTTTTCTGCACTTTGGGTACTCGAATCTAACTTCTGGGGTTCTAGACAACGCACTATTGGGACATGCTGTCTTCAATTCAACAACAATTATTCATCAAGAGGCCTAAAAACATCTTCGGCTGCAAATAGGGTCAAGAGGAACTGCTGATTAGCATTTGTAGGCAGCATCTGAACAATATTCAAAGGCAGACAACAGCTCGGCTAATTCTGGACATTCTGAATTCCTCTCCCAGGACTAAGACAATGTGCTTGCCTGGCTTTTCTTCTACTTCCATCCCAGCTCCTGACCTGAATCTCTCTATCTGGTTCAGCTGATCTCTTTTACCCTTTCCCAGTATCCCACCCCCACTCTCCCCCACTGTAGCCTCAAAGACGTTGTGGGGAGATTTCCACCTCCTTCTACCCTTCCTAACCCACACCTCTCTCTCCTGCTGTCACCGAGCTCTTCCTGGACATGCTGCCTGCTTAACCTCCCCACAGCAAAGCCTGTGACCACGGTAGCCTGACTGTAGACGCCCACACTTCTGGAGCCCAGTGGCCAGTTCCAACTGCACCTGCCCCTCCTGGATGATCCACCCAAAGAGAGCTGAGGTCCTCTCCATTCCCTGCTCTTTCGCTTTTTCCCTACTGTGCCCCTCCACATCTCTGCCCCCAGTTTTCATCTTGTCCAAGGTCATTCTTGATCCCCACCCCCTAAGTTCTACTTCCTTTCCATGAAACTTCCGCAGCCCCTTCATTGCCGAGTCTATAAAGGGCAACACGATGGACTGGGTGACCTGAGAAACCCTCCTTCTGCAGAGCACTGAGAAACACCAGGTCGGCTGTAACAAGCTTCCTTTAAACTGCATGGCTGAGCCTGGCAGAAAGGAGAGGAAATTGCCAGGGCCTCCAAACTGAGGGCATCAAAACTGGAGCAGACAGCGGCTGAGCTGGTACAGCTCTAGCCCAAAGTGGAGGTATGGCAGGGAAGAGTGCCATCTGGTCTCAGTGGACCAGGGACTCGGTGTCAGCACTTGGCAGGAACAGGAGAAAAGTTTCTCCATAGAACTGGGGCCCCAAGGAGGTCAGTCTAATGATGGGTCAGGAAAAAAGTGCACCCATCCATACAGAAGATGCTTCTCCATCTTGACTTGGGTCCTGAGTGAGGAAAGGTCTCCTCTGAAAATTTATGACAACAGGCCTTCACTGGGCTTCAGCTTCAAATTTATACCACACAGGTGGGTCAAGTAATCCAAAGCTGAGAATTTGCACAAAAAGAAGTCCTAGGCTGGGAATGGTGCTGGCTCACATCTGTAATCCCAGCGCTTTGGGAGGCTGAGGTGGGAGGCTCTCTTGAGGCCAGAAGTTCAAGACCAGCTTGGGCAACATAGAAAAACCCCGTCTTTACAAAAGAAATTTTTTTTGAGTTGGAGTCTCACTCAGTCGCCCAGACTGGAGTGCAGTGGTCACTCCCGGCCACCGCAGCCTTACCTGCTGGGCTTCAGAGATCCTTCCGTCTCAGCCTTCCGAGTAGCCGGAATTACAGGCATGCACTACCACGCCCGGCTGATTTTTTTGATTTATGATTTATTGTAGAGATGAGATCTCGCTGCCCAGGCAGGTTTCGAACCCGCAGGCTCAGGCAATCCACTCACCTCAGCCTCCCAAAGGTGTGGGATTACAGGTTGAGCCACCAAGCCCAGCTTACAAAAGAAAAATTTTAATGTTGTGGTATGCTCCTGTAGTCCCAGCTACTCGGGAGGCCAAGGCAAGAGGATCCCTTGAGCCCAGGAGTTCAAGGTTGCAATAAGACATGATCACTACTGCATTCCAGACTGGACAACAGAGTGAGACCCTGTTTCAAAAAAAAAAAAAAAAAAAAAAAGAAAAGAGAAAAGGACAAGAAAAAAGTTCTGGACTCTGAGTGGCTGTGACAAAAACAAAATATCTCCAGAAGGACACGTCCTTAACGCAGGCCACAAATAACCATGTCCTGAGGATGAGGTTAGAATTCAAAATTACAAGAATCCCACTAGAGTGAGTGTCAGCAGAAATAAGAGCAGGGTGAGACCCAAGAGCGTCAGATGGTCAACACACCAGAGAAGAATTAAGAAATAAATGGGGGAGGAGGAAAGACATTAGTATAGAGACCTATGCAAATGTTTTAAATCTCTAATGAGAATTTACAGAAGTTAAAATTTTCGTCTTTGAAATTAAAAACTGAATGGACAGATTAGACAGACATCTAGGAAAGAGAAATAGTAAAGGAACAGATGGATATGGAGGGATGATCCAGACTACTGAACAGAGAAAGAAAGAAAACATGGAATATGGGACTATGAGAGAGAAACAGGGGGCTCTGAATAGTGACCAGAAAGGCCCATGTGGCACATGGGAGCTCCAGAGCCAGGAGTGCAGAGACAGAGCAAAGACAGTATTTGAAGAGATCAGACAAAGAACTGGTTCCAGAATTTATTAAAAAACACGAATACTTCATTAAATCCAGGAAGTAAAGGTCTCCAGAAAGATTAAAAAAAAAAAAAATCCACGTCTAAACAAGTTGGCGAGAAACTGAAAACCTGAAGGCCTGAAGAATTTTCCTGGCATGGTCCCATACTCACTCCACCAAAACAAAGAAATAAGTCAAGAACAAGGAAGACACAGGAACCTGGCAATCACACAATGGAGAAGGGCAAGGAAGTCCCAGGATAGGTGAAGAGAAATTTTAGAGTCGACTGCCGGCTCCAGGCTGAGGGCAAACAGTCTGGGTGAGAGCACTCCAGAAGGTTCTAGAATGCCTTGAGAGCGGATTTATTGAATTGGCATGGACTCCAGCATTGAATTAGGAATCATTACACAGACAATACATAGAAAACTAAGAAACAAATCAACAAGCAAACAAAGCAATTGTTATAACAACTTTTAAATTTAAAAAATTGTACAAAAAAGCTAAAAGCATTACTACCTGGTAAAAGGATGGTCCATGGAATAAAGAGATAATTGATTTCTCATAAAGAAAAATAAATAAATGCAATCCCATATGATACCCAAAACAAATTCTAGGTGAATTAAAGGCATAAATGTTAAATGTGAAACTCTAATTTTTAGAAGGAAATATGAGAAAATATTTTTACTCTCTCCAGATGGGAAGGATTTCTTCCACAAAACATAGAATGGACAAACCCCAAAAGAAAAGACTGTCAAAGATTGATTAACCTGAGTACATTAATATTAAAATGTTCTGTTTATCAATTCTATAATCAAAAAGAAAAGACAAGCCTCAGACCAGGAGAAGATATTTGTAATGAATGTAACTTGTAAAAGTGTAAAGTCGGTCAGGCACGATGTCTCAAACCTGCAATCCCAGCACTTCAGAAGGCCAAGGTGAGAGGATTGCCTAAACTCAGGGGTTCAAGACCAGCATGGGCAACCTGGTGAGACCTCGTCTCTACAATAAATCAAAAAATAAGCCAGCATGGTAGTGGGCACCTGTAGTTCCAGCTACTTGGAAGGCTAAGACAGAAGGATCGCCTGAGCCCAGCAGGTCGACTCTGTAGTGGCAACAGAATGAGATTCCAACTCAAAAAAAAAAAAAAAAGAAGAAGCATAATGTCTAGGCTATACATAGAACTTCTATGAATCATTAAAACAAGACAAACTAATAGACAAATAATATTGTCTAAATATTGCTGTTGAAAATATAGTATTTTGGCTCAGCATCAGTTCCAACCTCCTACCGGGTCTTGCTGTTATACTGAACCTAGAAAGCCAACAACCAGCTTCCAGAACTCCCTGACAGCTGAGATGCTAAGAGATATTTTCAGCCCCACCAATCATATGGCCTCCTGTGAGCCTGGAATTCAGAACTAAGATAAGTAGGAAGGAAGGTGGAGTTTGAGGCATCCAGGTAACGGGCAGGTACTGCATTGTCCTAAAGTCAAATGCTCTGGCGGTAGATTCTGGCCAAAGTTGTGGAATCTGGAAGCCAGCATCTGGGACATCTGGGGCCACATCTACCTGATTCTCCAGTATCCAGACAGCTGCAGAGGGCAGTGGCTCGGGAGGGCCATTCCTTTAGTCTTGCTCAGGGACTCATTCTTGGACCCATTTTGTGGCCTTCTATTCTAGGGCCCTCAACGATTTGGTGAGACCCCAATACTCTCTTTCAAGTCTATGTATGCTTAAAATGGAATGATTTTTGTTATCACTAACTAAACCCTGGCTAATACAG